CAAAGGGGAAGGTCACTGGTTCGATCCCTGGTCAGGGCACATGCCTGGGTTTCACGTTCAGTCCTGATCAGGGTATGTTCTATAGGCAACCGATCAATGTTTTTCTCTCTCTGATCGATGTTTCTCTCCCTTTCCCTCTCTCTGAAAATAAATAAATAAAATCTTAAAAAAAAAGAGTGTATAGGTAGCAAAACTGTCGTCTAGAAAAGCTGTACTCACCTGCTCTGCTGCAGCCACGCGCTGTGGATGAGGAGCCAGAGTGGGCTCAGCCCGAGGTAAGCTGGGCAGTTACCGTCCTCCTCGCGGCTCTGAGACGCCTCGCCGCTCTGTGGGTGAGACCCAGCCGTCCCACCACCTTTCCATGTGACTTCTGATTGAGAGCAACCAATGTCGTCTCTCTCTGATTTTTGTGTGTGCATGTACTAGCTTTCTCATGCTCTGCTCGTGTCTCCCCCAGTACAGGTAATGCAAACAATTATTTGTGTTTATGGAACAGCTGAGCTGCGTGCCCTTCCTACACGACCTCATTTATGTCTCAGCACAACTCAGTGGGGCAGCAGCTGCCGCTGCCTTTTCACAGAGGAGAAAACAGACTCTAGACAGTTAGGTGGCCTGGTGGCTGGTGTGAGACTCAGTTCTGGTGGGGAGGATCCTGCCCTTCCAGCTTTGCCTGTGACCTTGGGGCTCCAGCCTCTCCAATGGAAGGGCACAGCAGGTGGCATTTGGGGATAATGGCTTAGGCTGCTGCCTTAGCTCCCATGGCTTGTGATGCTTCCTGATCAGGAGGAGCGGGCAGGGCTGGGTGGGAGAACAGACTGGTGGGAAAATAAGATCTTTCTTGTTTTCTGGTCCTTTCCATGTCTTGTTTTGAAGTATTTAGATACTCAAGGCATCAGATGCTTCCAAGTTCAAGTGTAAAAATAAATGGCTCACAGCCACAGGGGATGCAATCAAAGGTAGGGACCCTCTCCCTCTTCTGGCTTCCGTTAGGAAGAACAATGGATAACGGCGGAGGTCCGACCCGCCGGCTGGTGCTGGACCTGGTCCCCGGGGGCGGGGCGGTGTGAGCCAGAGGAAGCCGAGTCACTGGGAGCCCGCCCTGGGCGCCTTCCAGTGAGGGACCGCTTGCTTACGTCCCTGTGTCCGGTCCCCTCCCCGACTGCTGCCCCCCTGCCTGCTGGCTCGACCTGAGAGATGTCCCGTGGCTCCTGCTTTGGGTCCCGGCTCTCCGTACTTCCCCAGTTATTTTGACTTCTGCGCACCATTGGTCTCACTGTGTAATTAGGTTGGGGGGTTTTGGTGTGATTAGTAATACCTGCCCCGCCCTGCCACGTCATTGTAAGCTTCTGGAAGGCGGGGACTTCACCTCCCTCCCCTGCCTCTTCCCCGGCTTGTACCCTGCACAAGGTCAGCGCTTCGAACGATCCAACGATTCTCTCCAACAGGCTGTGGGCTGTTCCCAGAGGAAGCCCCGTGCCCCCTACCCCCTCCGAGGCCTCTGTTAAGTGGCCACCCCACAGACATCCTTACGCCCAGACCCAGGCATTTGAGGGAACAGGACAGTAAGCGGCGGCGTTGCCCAGGGACCCCACAGCCATTCCTGGTGAGCAGGTGCCCCAGTTGTCAGGACACCTCACACCATGCAGTCCTTCACGGCTTACCCACGTCCAGGTCTCAGCTCCCACCCAGCATCCCACCCAGGCAGGTGGGGTGTGGGTGATGGAGTCACAAGTGGGCCAGCCTCCTCCCGCCCCCCCTCAAGGAAGGAGTGGGTGGGTGGATGTACCCTGAGGGGTCTGAAGAAGGAGATCATTGCCATTTCAAAGGTGAGTCATCGCAGATACAAAAAGACCACGATGATTTCACTCATGTGGAATCTAATGAACAAACTGAACTAACAAGCAAAATAGAGACAGACTCACAGATGGAGAGCAGACAGACAGCTGTGGAGAAGGGGGTTGGGGGTGGAGGGATTGGGCAGAGAAGAAAAAGGACTCACGGACACGGACAACAGTGTGGTGATTTCGGGGAGGAGAGGGTGGGTGGAGGTGGAGGAGGGTATAAGGTGGATAAATGGTAATGGAGAAAATACAATAAATTTTTTTTCAAGACAGGGAGAGAAACATCAGTGTGTGGTTGCCTCTTACATGGGCCCCATTGGGGAACCTGGCCCACAACCCAGGCATGTGCCCTGACTGGGAATTGAACCGGCAACCTTTTGGTTCGCAGCCCGTGCTCAATCCACCTAGCTACACCAGCCAGGGCCAATGAGAATAAATTTTTTAAAAAGATGACAGGCTCACTTAAGGTAAAGATTGACCTTTGTCAAGGACTTCGTGGGCCTGGGGGATGTGACTACCTGCAGTGACTCACTTTTCATCAGGAATTTCTATGTTCAGGCCCTCCTGTGTGGTCACCTCAGGTCGCTGTGTTCGTCCGTCCCACCGTGCAGGCCTCCCCGGGCTGGTCAGGTTTAACATGTGGCCCCTTTTTTATCCACACTCAGCAATGAAAAAAAAAAAAGAAATCTGGTCATTTGTCACAATATGGATGGACCCAGAGGGTATTGTGCTAAGTGAAATAAGTTGGACATCAGTGAAATAAGAGACAAAACAGCGTGATTTCACTTATATGTGGGATTTAAAAAACAAACCAAATGAATGAACAGCCAGACTGAATAAACCACGTTTGCTGACCTCCTGGCTGGAGCACTTGTACTTACTTCTTCACCTTCACCTCGCTCATGGCTACTAGCACTTCTGGTCATGGCTGAGCCACTCCTCCTCCAGGAAGCCTTCCCGGATTCCCAGGCTGGGCAGTCCCTTCTCTGGCCTCCCAAATGCCCCTCAGCTCCTCTGTCCCACTCTGAGTTGTCACTCTCCAGGGTTGGATCTGTGTCACCCACCAGCCTGTAACTTCTAAGGAGATAGGTTTCAGGGCTGTGCAACTCCAAGCTAGGCAGGGACAATTCAGTTCAATTTTTTCATTTGTAAAGTGGAACTATTAATAGCATCCACTTTCCAGGGTTTGGAGAAATAAACGGAAGTGATGCATTATAGCCCTTTAGCTGTCATGTCTGATAAATAGCACCTTCCGGAGACAGGAGTGCTCTCATTATTAATCATCTCAATGTGTTCTCGCCAGGAAAGTTGACTCCTCCCTCCCCCCCGGGAAGTCTTCCTGGATCCCCAGGCTGGATTGGGAGCTCCATCTGGGCTCCCATATCCCAGCCCTGACTACTCTGGCTGTCGCTCTGTCTTTGCCACTGGGCTGTGAGCCCTGGGAGGCCAGGCCCGTGGCTGTTGAGGTCGCCTCTGGGTCCCTGGGACTGCCCAGCACAGGGGTCCCTGCAGACCAGGCACTGGAGGAAGGCATGCTGAGCGAGCCAATGAACTACTGGCTTTAGCCATTATCTGACCTCTGATCGTCGTGTGTCCATTAGCCCTCTTTCCCACCCAAACATACAGAACTGTTTTCTGTCAATACCAGGATTTTGGGAAAATGTACTCAGGAAGTTGTGTGTGTGTGAGAGAAAAACAGCGTGCCATCTACTCTTAAATTTTATTTACTTTTTATTGAATTGATTGGGGTGACATCGGTTAGCAAAATTATATAGGTTTCATCTCTATACATCATCTGTATAATGTATTGTGTGTTCACCATCCAAGTTAAGTCTCCTCCATCACCATATCCTTCTCCCCCTCCCCCACCCCCTTTCCCCCTCTAAACACCATATGGTTGTCTATGTCTATGAGTTTTCTTTTTCTTTTTCTTAATCCCTTCATCTTTTTCTCCCAGCCACCACGCAACGCCCTGTTCTGTGGTGTTGCTCTGACCGCTGTCCTAGAGCAATCTCGACAGAGCTGGAGGAAGTGAGTTTAGACGTGTTTAAAAAGGGAAGAGGTTGGTGGGAAGGGGGGAGGGCAGAGGACCTGGGCAAGGAATGGCCGGCTGTTGGAGACAGAGTCTGTTCCTTCCGTGAGGGCAGAGGCTTGTCTGTCTTGCTGCCGCTGCGTCTCCAGCACACAGCACAGAGCCAGCCACGTGGAAGGTGCTCGGTGAACATTGACTGGGTGAAGGAAGGAACCAGGCATTGCCGAGGCAGCCTGGGCATCTTGCCGCGCCTCTGGGATTGTGAACCCTGCATACTCTGAGTGAAGATGAGGACCTTCCTGTCCCCCTTCCAGGAGGAGAGAGGAGGCGGCACCCTGCTGAGGAGCGGGGAGGCAGCCAGGGGACCCACTGCCACTCTCTGCCCTGTGCTCTCAGCAGACATCCGTCACCGGTGCTGTCACCGGTGCCAGCACGCTTTCTGTGACGGCAGGACCTGTGTCTGTCACACAGCGTGTGCTCAGTGCACGTTTGCTGACGAGAGGATTGGGCAGCCGTGAGTCAGCATCACGCGTAGCTGTGTGACCCTGGGTGAGTCACTCGCCCTGTCTCGGAGCTTCACCTGCTTTGCCTGTAAAGTGGGGGTGGGGACTCCTTTCCCCAGTGGGTGCAGTGAGGGTGACATGAGATGTGACTCACCAGAGGGGCGTGAATCCATGTGGCTGGCCTGGGGACAGCCCTCAACAGACAGGATTTCAACTCACGCCGGCTACTGGTATTGCTAAGCGTGATGACATGTAGGCAGCTCTGTGCTGGTCACAGAAGCGCAGACTGGTCCCCAAATGTTAGATGTTTGCCGGTGGGAGTCTCAGCCATGCTCATTTCCCCTCTGCCTGCCACGGGCCAGGATTCCGAAGTGAGTGGTCAATTTTAACTGCAATGTGACTTCTGTGGGTAGCAGCCACCTCCCTCCTCACTTCTCTGTATTCGGAAGTTCTTTTTTTTTATTGTGGTTCAAGTACAGTTGTCTGCACTTTCCCCCACCACTCCCCCCCACCCCAGTCATGGCCACCTCCCTCCCCTGATCCCACCCCCCTCTTGGTTGCGTCCATGTGTCCTTTATACTTATTCCTGAAAACCCGTCCCCCTCCCCCCCCTTTATCCCCTCCCCTCTGGTCAGTTTGTTCTTCATTTCAATGTCTCTGGTTACATTTTGCTTGTTTGTTTTGTTGATTAGGTTCCACTTAAAGGTGAGATCATATGGTATTTGTCTTCTTCTTTTTGAAAGGAGCAAACATTAGCTGTGTGTGCGGCAGACACATTTCGAGGTATCTACCCGGTTTATGAGGCCAACTGCCCCCTATTTTCAGAGCCCCCCCGAGCTCCTGGGGCTCCGATTGTACAAAACATCCCTGCCCCGCCCCAGCCACAGTGGTGGGACCAAGGTGGACACCTGACCCGAGTGAGCCAATCAGATGCCTTCCCCATGGTTTCAGAAGCAAGGCAAAGGGATTTGGGCCAAGTTGGACTGTTCCCTTAAACAGTGGTGTTGTATGTAGATGTGGACGCTGTGGGATGGTGTCTTTCTCCACGTGAGCGGAGAAGCGCTGAGAGCCACCTGCTGAAAGAGACAGAGAGAGAGCTGTGAATCCACGCTCCTGGCGAAGAGGATTACAAGGGGTAACGGGTGGGGGGCACAGGGAGGCAGGGAGCTATGGGCCTGGTCCCAGCCTTGGGAGGCAAATTGCAAAAATGGCCACAGATTCCCCCCCTCCCATGAAGGGTGGAGTCAACTTCCCCACCCCTCGAATCCGGGTTGGCCACAGGACTTGTTCTGGCCAATACCATGTGGTGGAAGCAGTGATGTGTCAATTCCTAACCTTGGCCCTAAAGGCATTGTCCCTTCTGCTCTCACCCTTGGAATCGAGCCTCTGTCGTGTGAACACGCGTGTGGTCTGCCTGCTGGAGAATGAGAGATGAGGTGGGGGAGAGGCTGGCTTTCCCAGCTGAGGCCACTCTAGTCCAAACAGGCCCTCGGTGACCTGGCACTGACCATGGAGCTTCAGTGAGCCCAGCAGAAACCAGAGACAGGGCCCAGAGGAGCTAGATCGATGGCTGTGGTTTCAAGCCATTACGTCCAGGGAGGTACAGTTTGTTACATAGCAAGTACTAACTGACACACCCTTGGATTCCTGAAAATCTATCTGAATCCTACTATTAGGTCCTTCCTTTTGTTTTTTACTGAGCCACTTCTGTGAGTTCCTTTCACCTGCATCCCACAAGCTTTAGGAAATTTACACGGCTTGTGTGGGTGGTTCCCAGGAGCTCGTGTGAGGGGCAGATGGCGTGTGGGCAGCCAATGAGAGGGAGGAAAAGCAGTGCCCGGGGCTGTCCACAAGGGGACCACGTCCCACAAACAAACGATCAGGAAACCAGGAGGGAGGAGGTGTCCTATGGTGCCCCCCAGAATGTCACCTTGTCCCTGAACCCAGGATTCTCTTCCCACCCTTCCGGGCATCACCTCTTAAGCCGACAGGCAAGGGGCTCACATTTCAGCTGCACATTCGCATTCTTCGCCCATCAGTCCTACAATGAAGGAAAGAGAGAAGTTGATGATCACATGATCCTCATACTATTGTACACACAGCCGATGTTGACAGACGCTTGCCAGTGCTAGGCATGACTTACAGGGCCTTCCCCCCACACCTGCCTTTGAGGTGAGTATCCCGTTACCCTTGTCCCTGTCCTACAGAGGGGGCGGGGACGCACCCTGCAGATCATGCAAGGATGCCCCCAAAGTCCCACAAGCTGGTTTATGGAAGAGCTGGGACGAGCCTACGTAGCCTCATTTCAGGGTCCGTGGTCTTAACTGCAGACAGCAGGGACCTCTCTCGGCCCTCAGTGGGTGCGGTAGATGGGTGTGGTAGGTGGGTGCAGTAGGTGGGTGCAGGGCTCCTCCCCACCCCCAGCCCACACCCTTCTCTTCTGAGGACCTTTCCAAACCATTGCAACTGGCAGGTGTCTCTTCTTCAGTTTAGAAGCTACGAAGACTGGTATTGTTAATGGCGGAAAAAGAGACGGGGTAGGTTTGGGGCTGGGACTAGGACTGAGGCGGGGTTTTGGGTTCAAATCCTTTCTCTCTCCAGCTGTGTGGTCTGGGCCAGTCACTCCTCCCTGAGCCTTAGCTTCCTCTTTGACAAAAATGAGATCTTCATCCCAGCCCCATCCCTCCACCCTCGCCAAGCTTTTGTGGAAATTAAATGGAATGTTGTTTACCAAGCACATAATAGGTGCTCAGTACTCGTAAGCTACAGTAGCATGAAAACCATAGCTAACACCTCTAGGGTTAAAGGGTTCTCATCTCAGAGCAAAAGCCAGGTCTTACATGACCCACCAGCCTCCCCTCTCTGATCTCATGCCCTGTGTCTCTGCCCACTCCTCGCCTCACTCCGGCCACATGGGCCTCCTTGCTATTTCTTTGCTGTTTTTAATCTTCACCTGAGCACATGCTGATTGATTTTAGAGAGAGAGGAAGGGAGGTGTTGAGTGGGGAGGAGAGGGAGGGAGGGAGAGAAATCAATGCAAGAAGGAAACATTGATTGGTTGCTGTGCCATGACCCGCCACGACCAAGCCCACAACCTGGGTATGTGCCCTGACTGGGGATCAAACCAGCGACCTGACAGTTGACAGGACAGTGCTCCAGCTAACTGAGTCACACCTGCCAGGGCCTCTCTTGAACATGACAGGCAGGTCCCACCTCAGAGCCTTTACACTTACTGTTCCCTCTGCGGGGCATGCCCTTCCCCCGCACACCCACTGGCTCCATCCCTCCTCTCCTTTGCTCAGCACCTTGGCTGAAATGTCCCTTTCTCAGGGAGGTCTTTGCTGACTTGGTTAAGTTCCCACCTCATCCCCACACCCCCGGCCCCCTCTGGCCCTTCGCGCTCCTTGTCTCTGAACGTACTGTCTCCATGTCACTCGGTCATCACGTGGCCGTTGGTATGTCCACCTGGGATGAAAGTTGCTGAGGGCAGGAGCTTTGCACTTTGAATTCCCACGGTATCCCTAGCGCCTGACACATCGTGGGAACTCAACAGGTATGTGTAGAAGGAATTAATAGGACAGTATCCCAGACCCTGCTTTAAACGCTTTAGAAATATTAGCTCATTTCATCCTTACAACAGCCCTGGAAGGTGGGTATTATTAGTATCACCCCCATTTTGCAGACAGGCAAACTGAGGCACAGAAAGGGGAAGTGACTTGCCCATGGCTTCACTGTGGGTGAATGATGGAGCTAGGATTTGCACCTGGGCAGACCAGCCCCAGAACCCTCTTCTGTCTCTTTTGGGGTCCCTGTGGGAACTGACGAGGCAGAGGGCCTCGTCACCAGGGGTCCATGTCGTCCTCTCCGAGCGAACCCAAACCTCCTTGCACAGAGGCTGTTGGTTTGGTCTCTGTCTTGCTGCTGAGCGGGCTCTGTGCCTCCTGGGGGCGGAGTGGCGGCTGTTGGGTGCACAGGGGCGAGGGGCAGAGGTACCTGTGGGCCTGGGTGATGGTGAAGATGATGCCTACCAACAGCACCGCCATCCCTGCGCCGCCGGCCACGACGAGGGCGATGGCAGACCCTCCTGACACAAGGAGAATGGGGTCCGGCTCGATGGGCTGATTTGTGGGGTCCACGCTGACTTCTGCGGAGCAAGAATGGGTGAGACCAGGGGAACCACCCTCCCTCCACAGTCCCCATCCCCACTGTTCCCCTCCCAGATGTCTCTTCCATGCATCTCTTCCTCCCCACCCTCTAAGCCTCCGCCCTGGCCTCTTCCCTGCTCTTCCGCCCTGGTCTCTCCCCGCCATCTGCCCGCCACAGGGACGGCAGAGGGGTCTCTCTAAAGCTCCAACTGGGTCCTGCACCTCTTCTGCTCAGAATCTTGCCATGACTCCCCAGGCCCCGGGGAGGAAGTGTCCCTCACCTTGACCTTCCAGGCCCTGCCCCCTGGCCAACCTCATCTCTCTTCACCGTCATCTTTATAACCCAGCCCCATTGGGCTCCCCTCAGTTACCTAAGCTCACCTCTCTCCCTCCTACTTCTGGGCCTTTGTGCCCCTAGAATGCCTTTTATACCATTTTCTCCCCTTTGGCCTGGATAATTCTTATGTATTCTAGTATTAACTCAGATGTCCTCTCCTCCAGGAAGCCCTCCCTGAGCCCCTTGCTGGGTCAGGCACTCCCTTGGGTCCCACAGCCCTTGAGGCTCCCCCACTCTGGCCATTACTATTTATGGGCAGGTCTGTTCCCCGCAGGACCTGGGAGTCCTGGGGAGGCAGGCCCAGGGCCATCTTCATCACCCAAGCATCCCTAGCACCGTCCAGCCCAGCCAGTAACATAGTATTGTTTAATAAACATTTCCTTAATAGTTGATGAATGAGTAAGAGAATTCCTGGAAGTTTTGTCATTCTCTGTGAATACATCAGGGTTACTAGGTACTACAAGATTTCATTTTTTTTCATGGTGAATCATCTCAAAATCACATCCTGAAGCTCCCGCTAGACCCCGGCTCTCTGGGACCCAGCCAAGCCAGCCTGTCTGTCACCCTCGCCCTTTCCAAATCCTGGATCTTGGCGCCTGCGGTCTCTGCTGCCCCCGCTCCTCCAGGTCCTTCTAGCCCATGCCAAGACACTTGCCCTCCACGAATGAAAACAGAAAAACTGCTGGTCATGGTCACTGCCGCTACTTAAGGCACCTGTTGTTGCTAACAGGTGTTCTGCCTGCTTCACACCTGCATTATTTCAGTTCCTTGTAACTACCCGTTAGTCACAGGAGGAAACAGAGACTCAGAGAAGGGAAGTCTCCTGTCCCAGGTCACCTGGCCGGGAGGGCACAGGGGCAGGAGTTGAAACCAGCTTCCGCAAGCTCCCAAACTGCCTTCCTTATCCCGACAACTGGCTGTCCTCATTATTGCTGCCCAGGACTCCATGCGCCCTCCTGCCTATGGAAATCATCACAGAATTAATAATACCGATAATGCTAATTGTAGCAAGGATACTCAGTAGTGTTCAATAGTACAAGGCATTCTTATTTTTAGCTGCCCACCTGCTTATCTCAAGGAATGCTCACAACTACACTTTGGGTGGGCACTATTATTTTTCCAGTTTTATAGAGGGGGAAACTGAGTCATGGCAATGTCAAGGTACTGGTCCAAAGTCATGCAGCCAGGACGTGGAGCCAGAATTCAAATCCCAAAGCCCATGCTCAGGACCACTCGCTATATTATCCCACGCTCTCTTTCCCTGGCGCGTGCTGAGACCCAGAGAGGTGAAAGGGCCTCCCGAAATCACACAGCCAGCAAACGGTGGGAGCCGGGACCCAGGCCACGGCTCCAGATCCTGAGCTGAGCTTCCATTAGAGTTCATCCCTTTGAGCTGCAGCCTCTCATCTGTACAATGGGCTAATAATGCCCAAACCACCAGGTGGATGGGAGAATGGGGATGACCTCTTGGTTATAAAGGGTCTCAGACAGTTTTGCTCATAGAAGGTGGCTCCGTGGAGCCAGGAAAGCTGGCCACTGACCAGCTGGGGTGCAGGGCTCTGGGACGGGAGCGGGGCCTCACCCGACAGCAAGATGTTCACAGGCTTGGAGGAATGCTGCTTCTGGTTGTTGGTGACCACGCACACGTAGGAGCCCAGGTGCTCCCTGGACAACCGCCGGATGATCAGCCTGTCCTCGGCCCAGCAGGGCTTCCCGTTGAAGGTCCAGTGCAGCACGGGCTCGAGGCTGAGCGTGGTCCTGCACTGCAGGACCACCGAGTAGTTGAGGTCACTCCGGATGACGCCCCCGGTGTTCTCCGGGAACGTCCATACCCACACCAGCTCAGAGATGGCTGTGTGAACAAGCAGTAAAGTCACAGGGGTGGGGAGCAGTCAGAGAGGCTGAACCCTTCTTCTGCCCACCACAGAGTCATCCGTTCATTCATTTGTTCATTCATTCACCAACGAGTGTGTTTGCCGTGCTTGGTCTGTGCCCTGCGCTGCTCCAGACACTGGGTTGGCTGAGCTGTTGGGGCCTCCAGCCCAGCTCTGCACCCTCACCACTTCCACCTGCCAGCAGCACACCAGTTGCCCGAGGGCTTTTGCCAGCTGCCAGAGCTGTTCTGCTCGGGGGGCAGCAGGCCAGCATGCTGGGAACGGACTCAGTGGGAGCGAGCCTGCACAATGACTCACTTGGGAGGTATATTAATATCCCAGCACTCTCGCCTCAACTGAACCAGGGTGAGGCCGAGGGGCTGGGAGGAATGGTTGGATTCTGGGTTAATCTGCAGGCAGAGCTCACAGGATTTGTGGATGGATTGGATGTGGGTCAGGGAGAAGGAGCACAGTCAAGGGGGCTCCCAACGTTTGGGGCTTGAGCCTCCGGACACTGCTGGGGGGGTGCTCTTTACAGAGAAGGGACATACACAGTTCTCACCCCAGTCCTAGGTCCATGGTGTTTTGTTTTGTTTTGTTTTTCCTTCAGCTGAACTTTGAGGTTTGGTTTCTTAGGGACAGGTCTCCTGGTCAGAAAAAGCACAGCTGGGATTTGAACCTGGAGAGCGTAATGTCACAGTGAATGCTGGGAACCTCCACACAGATCTGATTTCCGATTTCAGTGCAATATAATTGAAAAGAATTTTAGCACACCTAGAGAGCTCACTGAAGGCTTCCTGGAGGAGGTGGTGCCTGAGCTAAAAGCCTTGCAGGAGGAGAAAGAGCCCACTAGGGGTGGAGACAAGAATCAATGGAACAGTCTCCTAGACTGTGTTCTTACTACAAGCCAAGCGCCATTGTAAACACATTAACTCAGTTTGTTATACTGCAAGAGAGACCCAGGCTTGGGGGAAATCATTTGGTGGGTTGTTATCAGCATTGAAAATATAAAATGAAACAATGGAAAATGACAGAAGGCATCATTCATTGTAATAATGGTTATTTTATGACACCCATCTTTTAGTTCTTTGTGGTGTGTGAATACATGCATGCTGGGTCATGTATGAAATTGCATTTCTTTCTTAAAAAGACTTCATTCATTTGTTTTTAGAGAGTGGGGAAGGGAGGGAGAAAGAAAGGGAGAAGTACATTCACGTGAGAGAAAAGCATCAATCAGTTGCCTCTCACCCACACCCCCCCCAACCAGGACTCAACCCACAGCCCTGACTGGGGATCAAACCGACGACCTTTCGTTTCGCAGGGTGATGCCCAGCCAGCGGAGCCACACCAGTCAGGGCGTGAAATGCATTTCTTAATGTGGGTCATGGCTGGAAAAGTTTGAAAGGCACTGGATTTACTCGCTTACTCTTCCCAACAGCCCCACGAGGAAGAGCTTCTTGTTGTTACCCCCATTTTGGCGAGAAAGCAAAGGCTTCAAGAGGCCAAGAACCTTGGCATCCATCTGTGTAACATGCGCTGACCCTGTGCCAGGGTCTGGGCTAGGCACTTGACCTGTGAGAACGTATTTGCTCCCTACATCAACCCCATGAGGTGGGTTCTACTACGGCTCCATCTTACAGATGAGGGCACTGAGGCACAGAGATGGGAAAGCCCCTTTTAGAGGACCTGCGGCTGCGAAGTGGTGAAGCCGGGGCTTGAACACGGGTGTTTCAGGTTCCAAACCCTGTGCAAGCGCCAGGCTGAGAACCGCACAGACAGAGTTGTGGGGCCAGGCCTGTAGGGAAAGAATCAACCTTCAACTCCTGCACAGCAGTCGGATGGACCTCAGCAGCCCGTCCATTCCCTGGTGGAGGTGAAAATCCTTCATCACAAAAGCCGGGCTGCCAGCCGTCAACCACACCTTTGCATTGTATCATAGAGATGACGCCGGGCTAGAGAGGTAGTGTGGGGGCGGTGGGGAGAGGAGCTCCGGGATCGTGCAGCCCGGGAGAAGCGCAGCTCGGTCCTTTGCTTTCTGTGACCGCAGGCTATGGACGTCACCTCTCTGAGCCTCAGTTTCCCGACCCACGCCATGGGGTTTGGTGCTAAGACTGCCCGCTTTCTCAGTTGTGAGATTCCCCCAGTGTTTTCTTTGATGACCCTTGGCCAAGGAGCTAGGTCAGAAAAAATAATTGCTACGGTTTTACTGCCTGTTTTCATCTAGGATTTTAATGGTTTTGAGCCCGACATTTGAAGGCTTTAATCCATTTTGTTTATTTGTGTATGTGTTGCAAGATGGTGGTGTAGTTTAATTTTTTTTTTTTTTTGCAGGGATCTATCCACTTTTCCCAACACCATTTATTGAATAACCTATCTTTACCCCATTGTATGTTCTTGCCTCCTTTGTCAAATATTAATTGACCATAAAGGTGTGGGTTTATTCCTGGGCTCTCTATTCTGTTCAATTGATCTGTATGTCTGTTTTTATGCTGGTACTGTGCTGTTTTGATTACTAGCATGATTCCTTCAACTTTGTTCTTCTTTCTCAAGATTGCTGTGGCTATTCGGGGTCTTTTGTGGTTCCCTATGCATTTTTGGAATATTTGTTCTAGTTCTGTAAAATATGCCATTGGAGTCTTGATAGGAATTGTGTTTAATCTACAGATTGCTTTGGGTGGTACGGACATTCTTCCTCCATAAACATGGTATTTGCTTTCACTTATTTGTATCTTCTTCAATTTCTTTCTCCACTGTGTTATGGTTTTCCAAGTACAATTATTTCACATCCTTGGTTAAATTCATTCCTAGGTATTTTATTGTTTTTTAAAGATTTTATTTATGTATTTATTTTTAGAGAAGGGGAGGGAAGGAGAAAGAAGGGAAACGTCAATGTGTGGTTACCTCTCACACGCCCTCTGTTGGGGACCCGGCCTGCAACTCAGGCATGTGCCCTGACTGGGAACTGAACCGGCGACCCTTTGGTCCACAGCCAGCACTTAATCCACTGAGCCACATCAGCTGGGACGGCTTTTCATTTTTTTAATGCAATTGTAAATGGGATTGTTTTCTTAGTTTCCCTTTCTGATAGTTTATTATTGGTGTATAAAAATGCAATTGGTTTCTGGATATTTATTTGGAACCTGCTACTTTACTGAATTCATTTATCAGTTCTAGTAGTTTTTTGATGGAATATGTAGGGTTCTCTATATACAGTATCATGTCATCTGCAGATAATAATAGTTTTACTTCTTCTTTTTCAACTTATATGCCTTTTATTTCTTCCAGTACTATAAGTCTTTTGATTTCAGCATTTAAGCCATTTACATTTAAATTTATTATTGATAGGTATGTATTTATAGCTACTGTATTCTTTTAACTCTGTTTCTCTGTTGTTGTTGTTGTTCTTCTTCTTTTTTAAGAAAACTATGTAACATTTTTGGTAACACTGGTTTAGAGATACCAAACTCTTTTAGCTTTTTCTTGTCTGAGAAGCTCTTTATTTCTCCATCAATTTTAAATGGGAGCCTTGCTGGGTTAAGCAGTCTGGTTGTAGGTCCTTGCCTTTCATCACTTGGAATATTTCATGCCAGTCCCTTCTCGCCTGAAATGTTTCTGTTCAGAAATCAGTCTTTTGGGAGCTCCCTTGTAGGTAACTAATTGCTTTTCTCTTGCGGCTTTTAAGATTCTCTCTATGTCTTTTATCTTTGCCATTTTAATTATGATGTGTCTTGGTGTAGGCCTCTTTGGGTTCATCTTGTTTGGGACTCTCTGTGTTCCCTGGACTTGTGTGTCTTTTTCCTTCATCAGGCTGGGGAAGTTTTTAGTCACTATTTCTTCAGATAAGTTCTTAGTCCCTTGCTCTCTCTCTCTTCATCTGATACCCCTATGGTGAGGGTGTTATTACACTTCATGTTGTCCCACAGGTCCCTTAAATATTCCTAATTTTTTAAAATTCCTTTTTCTTTTTTGCTGCTCTGATGTTTTCTGCTACCTCATCTTCCAAACTGCTGGTTCAGTCCTCCGCTTCATCCACCCTAATGTTTATTCCTTCTAGTGTCTCCTTCATTTCAGATACTGTGGTCTTCATTTCTCACTGGTTCTTTTTTATGGTTTCCATGTCCCTTTTCACAGTGCTGTAGCTCTCACTATGTTCCTTGGGCATCCTTATAACCATGTTTTTGAGCTCTATGTTTGATAAATTGCTTGAGTCCATTTTAGCTCTTTTCTCTGGAGATTTCTCCTATTCTTTCATCTGGTGGCACATTTTTCTTTTCCCCATTTTGGCTTCCCCTTTGTTTGTTTTTAATATATTAAGTAGATTTGCTATGACTCCCAGTCTTGGCAGGGTGGCCTTATGTAGTGCTGGGTCTCACGTGGTCTGATGTAGTCGCCTGTGACTGGTCCTGGGCATCATGTTCAGAGCTACACAATGACCCGCCGTTTGTGGCTGCCTCTGCTGGGCCTGGATGTGTGCGGGAAGGAGCAAGCTGAGAACCAAAGCAGGCTTTTACCAGCGCCAGGCCCAGGGGTAGGTCAGCAAAAGTCCCAAGGCACTCCAAGAGAGCTGCCTCCTCCTGCCTGCTGCTTCTCAGGCTCAGTCACTGAAAGAATCTCTGGCAGGACGTGAGTTGCATGAGGGAGGTTCTCAGTGAGTCACCAGGTAGGGCTGAGTGGTTTTCACCAGGCTGATGCAGGTTCAAATTCAGTGCTGGTGCTGGGTCTGAGGCCACTCAGCAAGTGTCCCGGGCTGTACCAAATCTAGCTACCACCTGCTTGCAAGCTGTTGTGGGAGAGGGGGCGGTCTCCAGGAGTTGTCAGGGTGAGGCCTGCAGAACTTATCAGGCCCCAGCAGACTAAGATTTGGCCGTGTGAAGGGAGGGCTCTGCACTGCTTTGGCGCGGGACAGAAAAGTGGCATCCGTCCTAGAGCCACACAGCTCAATCTGTCCCAGATTCTGCTGGGAGGCTGCGCTCAACAGGGTGGGACCGCTGGGAGTCAGAGGGTGGGGCTAGTGAGGGGGAGGTGTGGGTCCGGCTTGGGAGAAGATGGAAGGTGTGAACCCCTCCCAGAGCCACACAACCCCGCCTGTCCTGGATCCTGCCCAGAGCTCAGATGGGTGAGGCCACCAAGAGCGGGGAGGTTGGGGCTGCCAGCAGCTCCGAGGGTGGGCTGGTGGGTCTCCCATGAGGTGGAGGCGCCAGTCAGGTTCACGGGAAAGTGGAGGGAATAGCCTCCACCCCAAAACCCCACAACTCAGCTGCTGACACTCCCTTAGTCCAGCCAGACCCCTGCACCCAGGTCCAGGGAGCTGACTCCTCCGCAGGGCACAGTCTTTGCAGGGTGGGCCGAAAGGGAGCCCAGAGGGTGGGGCCGTTGCTTTCTCCCACTCAGATGCCGTATGGAGGGACTGCTCCACCCAAGAACCAGGGCCTCTGCAGTGTGGGAGAGGGGCTCAGCACAGGGATCCTGGGAGCTCTCCCTTCTGTTTTCTCCCCAGAGCCACAGACCCCAGTCTTTCCTCCTGAAACTCTAGTCTGTTCTGCCCTCCCTCCTCGGAGCCCTGGGGGAGTGGCCGTGAACGAGACTTTGTGCCTTGGTCCTTTAAGAGGGCACCTGTGTCTCTAGCAGACTCCTCTCTTTGCCTGGCAGACAGAATCCTCTCCGATTTTCACAGCCAGGTGTTACCTGGGCACTTCTTCCTGGCTCTCATTCTTCGGGCTGGGGATCCCACCTTGGGGTTGAGACCCCGTGCTTCTCAGGGCGAAACTCTGCAACTGAGATATCCCTCTGGAATGTCAGCTGACACCCGTGGGCGAGGAGCCAGCCCTCCCGCATCTCCGCCCTCCCTGCCAGTCTCACGTGGCTTCTTCTCAAGGGTGGCTCTTCCCGTAAAGGCCTGTTTCCCACCTTTGCCTGTGCGGTTCTCAGCCTGGTGATTGCACAGGGTTTGAAACCGGAAGGACCTCTGTTCAATCCCTGGCTCCGCCACTTCGCAGCCCTGTGTCCTCTAAAAGGGGCTTCCCATCTCTGTGCCTTAGTGCCCTCACCTGTAAGATGGAGCCATAGTAGACCCCACCTCACAGGATTATTGTAGCTCGACCTGGTCCCCAATGGGTCAGACGCCTTCTTTGATTCCCACATCTCCCTGCCTAGCACTCCAGCACTATCCAAGACAGAGAAGGCACTTATAAAGCATTTGATGGCCCTGGCTGGTGTGGCTCAGTGGATTGAATGCCGGCCTGGGAACCAAAGGGTCACCGGTTTGATTCCCGGTCAGGGCACATGCCTACGTTGTGAGTCAGGTCCCCAGTAGGGAGTGCACGAGAGGCAACCACACATTGATGTTTCTCTCCCTCTCTTTCTCACTTCTGTCTCCTCTGCCTAAAAATAAATAAAATCTTTATTTAAAAAAAAGCATTTGGTGCATACGTAACAATCAGCATTGGCAAATGACTTGTTGAATGGAAATCTGAGGCCCCCTGAAGCCCTGCACGTCTGCGGACCCCCATCTCCGCCTGCCTCCTTCTGCCGCGCTGACCGGCCAGCGGCTCACCCAGCCCACAGCCTCCGCGTTGCCCTGCTCTCAACTTCCCACACTCGCCAGATCTCTCTGAGCCCCCAGCCCTCACTCAGCCTGTTCTGACTGCCTGGAACAACCTCCCACACCATCTGCATTGACTAACCCCTCTTCTCTTCGGTAGCCTTTTAAATGTTACTTCTGCAGGGAAGCTGTCTCTGACCCTGCCCTTAGGGTGTATTCATGTCACGTCTCTCTGCCCAGATAGATTGGGAACTCCATGGCAGGAGAAACCAACTCTGCGAAATTTACTGCTGCGTTCCCCCTTCTCTGAGAAGCCCTCCCAGACTCCTCTGGTGTCCCAGCCTTGCCTACCCTGAGTCATCCCTGTCCGGGGACAAATCGATCTCCCCCAGTGGACTGTGAGCCCAGGAGGGCCATGTCAGTCACATTGTGTCCCCAACACTGTCCATCACATGCTGGGTACAGGGCAGGTGCTGGTGGTTTGTTGGACTAATGAATAGCAATGTGGTCATGCCCAGAGCCCTCCCACTGCATAGCCAGGAGCCCACAGGTGTGCTGGCACACAGACAAGGGTTAGGGAGTGGACTGACCAGCAGGCTGAACTAGCAGCCAAATGCACGGCAACTGGAAGGATCACTCTGCTAAGCTTGGATGAACGCCTGGCTAAACTTGGGATGGGGGGAGTGAGAAGGGCATCCTCAAATAGCAACTGGTGGCATAAACTTCTGGATAGCTCCCTTCCTCTCTTTTCCTCTCTTCCTTTAGTCACAGGACCCCACATTCTAGCTGGACAGATGGCTACCCAGGATAAAGGCTACATTTCCAGCTTTTTCTGCAGCTATATATGGCTGTGTGACTAGCTTCCAGCCACTGGGATGTGAACGATTCCAGTAGTGTGGTAAGATCTTGCACTGTCCCACTCTGTTCTGCCTGGACACGAATTATCCTTTCGCCCTGCGTGTCCACATCGTACACACTCCCCAGTCGTTAGTCACTCAGTGGCCTGCTCTGATTGACTATGAGTGATCACCATGCTTGGGTCCAAGTCACCTGGATTTTACTTAATAATTGCCCCACAGGGCAAGAGTAGTGACGCTGGCAATTTGAATACGCCAAAGGGAGGCGGTGACGCACTCCTTTTAAGTGAAAAGGTAAGAAGAAACAGTATATACAGGGTCTGTGGTTTCAGGCATCCACGGGGGTGTGTGCGTGTCTTGGAATGTATTTGCTGTGGACGAGTGGGGGGACTGCTGTAATAGGGTCCCTGTCCTGAACTGAATTGGGTCCCCCCAAATTCATATGTTGAAGACCTAACCCCTGGTACCTCAGAATGTGACTACGTTTGGTGACAGGAGCTTTAACAAAATAAGTGAAAACAATGTCATCTGGGTGGGTGCTAACACACTCTGACTGGTGTCCTTCCAGGACACACAGGAAGCCGCTGTGCTCTGCACGCAGAGGAAAGGCCGTGTGAGGACTCTGTGGGCAGGGGCTCCTCTGTGAGCCAGAGACAACCAAAGCTGCTGATGCTGGGATTCTGCACTTCCAGCCTCCAAAACTGTTAGCAATAAATTTTTGTTGTTGAAGCCGCCTGGCCTGCTGTATTTTGTTATGGCCACCCAAGCAGATGAACAGTCTATAAACTCCCTTCTTGACAGGATGGGTCTGGTTACCTTTGGGGCTCTGTTTTTTCTGGTTCAGGTGTGCAAGTTCAAGTCCAGAACTGAATAGCTGAGTTTGCAGGCTCTCACTAGAGATCTCTGCCCTTCCCTCAGTGGTAATGAACACATATTTAATGAATGTCTGTTGCAAAGTGTGACAGACGACCAAAAAATGGCCACAATGCTTTGCATCTCCTCTCTTCAAGAGATGAAGCCTATTTCTTTCCTGTTCAAGCTGGGCCAGCCATGTGACTTGCTTTGGCCAATAAAAGATGGCAGAAGTGCCCTGGCTGGGTAGCTCAGTTGGTTGGAGTGTCCTCTCAATAAGCTAAGGTTGTAGGTTCAATCCCTAGTCAGGGCACATGCAGGAGTCAACCAATGAATGCATGGGTGGGTGGAACAACACATTTCTCTCTCTTCCTCTCTCTCTCTCTCATCAAGTAAAAAAAATAAAAGAGCCCTGGCTGGTGTGGCTCAGTGGATTGAGCACTGGCCTGCAACACAAAGGGTCGCTGGTTCAATTCCCAGTCAGGGCACATGCCTGGGTTGCGGGGCCAGGTCCCTGGTTGGGGGCATGTGAGAGGCAACCAATCTATGTTTCTCTCTCACATTGCTGTTTCTTTCCCTCTCTTTCTACCTCCCTTTCCCTCTCTCTAAAAATAAATAAATAAAATCTTAAAAAAAAAGATGGCGGAAGTGATGGCATGCCGGTTCTGAGTGTGGGCCTCAGAAGGCCTTGCAGCTTCTGCACTTGCTCCTGCTCCACGACTGAGAGAACAAGCCCAGGCTAGCCTGCTGGCAGATGAGAGGCTATGCGGCCCAGTTACCCCTGTGGCCCCCCAACCAGCCAGGCCACTGCCAGACACATGAAGGAGGCCACCCTGGACCAGTCAGCGCCCGAGCAGTCCCCAGCTGGCCACAGACATGTGAGTGAGACTAGAACGGTCTGTGGTAATCATGAGCTAAAGAAATGGTTGCTATCTTAAGTTTTGAGGGGAGTTGTCAGGGAGCAGTTGGCCACGGCACAGAGCGGGTTTGGATGTGCCCAGCTGACTGAGACCCCGTCTCTCCCGCTGTGGGGTCCCACTCACCCGTGACGCGTATCTGCTCTGTCGCACTCCTGCGCCCCCTGCTGGTGTTCAGCACCACGGTGTAGCTTCCTGAGTCTTGAGCTGTCACGTTTCTGATGAGCAGGCTGCCTTGGGTGCCCAGCGTCTCCCGGCCACTGTGGCCGGGCCCTGGCAGGCCCTCAGGGGAGAAGATCATGGCTTCCGGCTGGGCCTCGTGCCCTCGGAACCAAGAAGCGGAGAGGATGTCATCGAGGTTGCCGGGGACAGGGAGGTGAGCACTGGCTCCTTCGGTCAGGAAGTCCGGAGGCGCAGAGGACGGCAGCTCCGAGGAGGCAGAGCAGATGCAGGTTGCCGCGAGCAGGGTGCCTGGAGGAGGTGGGAAGAGAGGTGAGAAGAGGGGGAGCAAGTGGGATCCGGGGCGGGGCGTGGTGCCACCCCAAGTATGGGCCTCTCGGAGCGTGCGGCCCACCAAGAGCTGACGACGGCAACAGTGCTCCTGATAAAAGTGTTGTTGAAATGAAAGAGAACATTCACGGAGTACCTCCTAGAAAGCCAGACGGTGTTCTAAGCACGGAGCCTGAGATGCCGCACTTATTCCTCGTACATCGACCCCACAAAGCACATACTCCACTGGACGGTCAGGTCCACTCTCTCACCTCTGCTCTGCTGTGCACCCTGAAAGGCTGACTTCTCTGAGCTCCATTGTTGGGGTCCCTTGCCTTTTGCATCTGTCAGTGGGAGTGACCTTGAGGTTACCGGTCTCACAGCTCCCTCCCTGCTCCGTCCTCACAGGCTGGCTGTGTCCCTCTACTAAAGCGCCTGTCGGGCGGCCATCTCCATGCACCACTCTCTTTTGGTTGGGGGTCCACCGTCCCTCTTACAGCTTCTAGCCCAAGAGAGGTGACAGCTTCCCACTGCTGCTCGCCCCTGGGTGCTGCACAGTCCCTTGTCACTCCACCTATCTCCTGCCTACACCTCTGCAAATGGTCCCTTTAGCAAACCCTCCTCACTCCTCCTTTTTTTTTAAATTAATCCTCACCCAAGAACATTGTTTTCACTGCTTTTTAGAGAAAGGGGGGCAGAGAGAGAGAGAGAAACATTGACTGGCTTCCTTCTTGTACATGCCCGAACCAGGGCTCAAACCTGTAACCTGGGCATGTGCCCTGACTGGGAATCAAACCTGTGACCTTTTGGTGTATGGGACGCTGCTCCAACCAGCTGAGCCCCACTGGCCAGGGCTCACTACTCCTTTCGAGTTGACTATCTCTTTCTTGCCTCCACCCTCACTGACACAACTATTCTACCCCTAGCAGAGGTGAAGAAGCAAAGAATCAGAGAACTGAAGACATGTTTCCTGGATGTCATAGGAGGTAAGGTCAAAATTCTCAGCCACCGACACTGTTGCAACTATGTTGTCCTGTGTGTCCCCAGTCCCCCGCTTCTGTCACTTCTTCTCATCAGGTTTCCAAGTTGCTTAGAACGTGGAGCGCAGTACTGGCGGTCTGGCCCCAGGGCCTGTGCGCCCGCCCGCCCTCCCTCTGCCTCTCACGGGGCCGGGGACTGTTGTAGTGAGAGCACGGGCTCCAGCCAGAAAAGATGAAAAAAATCTAACATAAAAACAAAAAGAAACTTCTGCAAATGTTGAAAAAAGAAACAAAACACCACCCACAAAGGCAAAAGAACAACGACGTACCAGAAAAAATCATTTGCAACTGATATCACAGATAGAGAGCTCATTTCGCTAATGTATGAGGAGCTCCTAGATATCGGCAAGAGAAATGTCAACAGCCTACCAGAAAAATACACGAAAGATAGGGGTGGTTTCCTAGAAAAGAAAATTCAAATGTCTCCTCACGTAGAGAGGATGTTCAGCTATACTCACAGCGAGAGACATGGAAATTAAACGAAACTGAGATGCTACTTTGCACCCAGCAGGTTGGCAAAGGTCCGAGAGTCTGATGCTGTGTGGGTGAGGCTGAGGACCAGGAAAGTCTCCCAGGCTGGCACAACCGCACACAGGGGGCAGGCCGGCAAAGTCCTTCAAGATCAGAAACTCCTGCATCTAATGCTTGTAGAGTGCTTAGGACAGTGGACTAACGAGGCAACAGCCAGATTACAATTCTAAGCACTGGGTGTATTGTAAATATGCCTTTTAAAGATTTTTTTTTAATCCACAAAATAAGTGGCTACATATTAAGCATCAGAAATACCCAGTTATAGAACAAATGTTGAAACATCAGCTCTGTCTTTTAAGTTTTTTTTTTTTAATCCTCACCCAAGGATGTTTTACTGATTTTAGAGAGGAAGGGAGAGGGAGAGGGAGAGGGGGAAGGAGAAACGTAGATCAGTAGCCTCCTGTATGATCCCCAACTGGGGATCGAACCTACCACCCAGGTATATGCTGTGACCAGGGATCAAACCCACAACCTTTTGGTGCCAAGGTAATATTCTAACCAACTGAGCCACCCAGCCATCAGCTCTCTTCTTGGTAGACAAATGAGAAGTCATGGCTGGGGAGAATGACTTCCAGGGCAGCATCAGCATCAGACGCAAGTGCTGTGCTCCAGAGGGGGTGTGAGAGGGAGGAGTGTGAGAGGGAAGGGTGTGAGAGGGAGGAGTGTGGGAGGGAGGGGTGTGGGAGGGAGGGGTGTGGGAGGGAGGGGGTGTGGGAGGGAGGGGTGTGGGAGGGAGGGGTGTGGGAGGGAGGGGTGTGGAAGGTCTCAGAAGGCAGCTCCAGGTGACCAGCTGACACAGAGAGCTGGCTGAGAGCCAGGGAACGTGACAGATTCTCCCATCCATGACTTCACTGATCCTCTCAACAACAAAGCTTGGTTCTAATCTGTTTTACAGGCAGGGAAACTGAGGCACAATAAGTTTGAGTCTCAGACCCAAGGCTGTAAGTGGGAGCTGAGAGTTCTTTCACTGTAGGGTCTTCATGGGGTCTTTCCCTTCCTACCCTCATTGATTTTACTTCCGAGCTGGCAGCTGGTGGGACTTACCTGCTGCCCTGCTCATACACCTTCCATGGCTGCCTAGTGCCCTCAGGACACAGTGCAGACTCCTTCGCCCGGCACCTCTGCTATGTCCCTGTTCATCTCCCCGTTCTTCCCCATTCTCCCTCATTCTCCACATCGGCCATGCTGAGCTCTGCGCAGTGCTCTGACCTCCAGGCCTCTGCCCACGCTGTTCCGCCTACCTGGGATGCTGTTCCCCTCTAACTCTCTTTCTGGCTGTGATTCAAGTTTCAGCTCAGGTGCCCCCCCTCCTGGAGTCTTCCCTGGCCCTCAGGGGTGCTTAATAACAGACGTTACAATGTTTGGGCAGAGACCTCAAAGGACTCAATGGGCCGATGGGAGGAGCTCTTGCTGCGAAGGGGCAGAATGAAGTTTCTTCCCCAATCACCTGCTCAAGGTTTTGCTTTCCTATCTTCATGAAAAAGATTTGCATTCTGAGATGTTTATGAAGCAAGGAGCACAGGGATCCCCTTTGCATAACTTATGTCACGCCTTTCTGAGGCCATATTTTGATTCTGACAGCTTTGAAAGGTGCCTCTCCCCTCCCCCGCAATGCCCCCCCCACCCCCCGCCAGGGTCTCTCTCTCCCAGACCATTCCTGCCCCACCTCCCACGCATCACCACTGTGTTTTCCCTCTGGACTGGGAGCCCCGGGAGGGCGGGGCCGAGGCTGTCTCCTTCACTGCTGCGTCCCCAGCCCCACCCAGCACTGCACAGGCTGGGCGGAGATCAGTGTCTGCTGAATAAGTGACCAAAGGGACAGGCTTCAGGTCCTGCAGCGCACGAGCTAGAATCCAGTTCTGCGTGTGACAGAGCTGCAGGCACCCTGAGCATCAGGGAGCCTGCCCAAGGCCTCCTCGGGAGACGGCGGGAAGCCTCGGCAACCCTCAGTCCAGCTGGCGCGGAGTCGTGGTTTCACTTACGGGAGCTGAGGCCTCTGCACCTGGGTCTGTAACTCGGACTCTGCCGCGTATTATTTCTGGGCTCGAGCCTCAGTTTCCCCACTTATCAAGGAGGGCAGTTGACAGTAACCATTTTACAGGGGTGCCTCAGATTCAATGAGATCATGAATTTTCAGGGCTGAGGACAGTCAAACTTTGGTATTTCATTCATAAATTAAATTATGTTAATAAACACAATGCGAATACATTTACTATATATAATTATATGCTAACATAATTATTTATTATATTAATTACATAATATGTAGGCCATATATAGAATACAATATGTAGAATATATCATAATTATGTGCATAATTATATATTTATATATTGATTTAACAATTTAACAATACATAAATATGAATTATATTAATAAATATAAAATGTATTTGATATTTATTTAAGATGTCTGTCTATGCAGTGTGGGGCAAAGATTTACGGTTGCGGGTACACAAAACACAGATTTTATTCTTGTGTCATTATTTATTAATTATTGTATTATTCTCCATACAAACAACTGTGAATTTACTTTTGGCCCTCCCTGTATAATGCTGTATCATATACATATATATAAATATATAAACAAATAAGTAAATATTCTTTTTAAGCATGCCAGATGAAGGATGGCATTTCAGGGCTGGAACCTCAGAGATGATTCCAGAACTCAGTTTACAGGAGCATGATTATTTTATCTAATGTCTAACCTTTATTGCAATGAGAAGTCGCTATTCAATTTTCCCCAGTTTGAGCCAGGGACACTCCCTGCATCACCGGATACAGCACGGGGAGTCTAGTCAATAACATCGCAGGAACTACGTGTGGGGCCGGGTGGGGACTGAAAATACTGGGGGGAACCCTTCGTCAAGTATATGATAGTCTAAGCACTATGCTGTGCACCCGAAACTAAGACTCCGTGATATTGAAAAATAAAAGAGCCGGTGGAGAGGGAGAGGAGGCGCAGAACGAGGCCTCCGGGGCGGGGGGGCAGGGCAAGGGGGTGCAGTTGAGAATAAATCTGAGTCCTGGGGGAGGGGGAGGAGCGGGGAGGGGGAGGGGGAGGGGGAGGGAGGCTGAGGACCTGCCCGGCTTTTCTCCTCCACAGGCCAAGTGAGGGCGGCTCCAACCCGACCTCTTAGAGAAACTGGGAAGTGTCCCCTCTAATTCCCGCGGTGAGAAAGTGGCGTGGGAGAGGCCCGTGCGGGGGAGGAAACACACGGCTGGGGTGCATGTGGCCCACACCTCCAATGCCTGGGAGAACAACAGACATGTCTGCATGTTTCCCACGGGCCAGTGGCGGATGCCTCTGAACCGGGTGGAGGCTGCCCTGGAGAAAACCCTCGTGGGACGCGGCTTGCTGACCTGGGACCTCGGCAGAAAGAGGCTGGAGGGGGCCAGGAGAGGGCAGTGAGCCTGGGGAGAGCCACTCCATGGAAGCCTTAGGAACACACTCTGGGCTGGCAGGGGCCAAGCGTCCCCAAGGTCCCCGCCCTCCACGGAGAGAGATTCGGCAACAGAGTGCCTTTCCCCACCTGACAACTGTAGTGGAACCTGCCTGCCCCCCTTGCTTGCCTTTCTCCCCTTTGCCTACGGCCCTGGGAGGTGGGGGCGGGGGCTGGCAGCACAGACTACAGCTATGGGCCGGGAGAAAGGGCTCAAAGGGAGAGAGACGAGGCCCACTACGCCCCATCTCGTCCTCACTACAGTCTAACACAGGCCTGACTGCGTGCGTGCGAAGAGAAGCTTTAAACTGGGTGAAGTTTGGGGTTTTGAAATTACACAGAGCTGGACATTTTTAAGACCTGTAAAGGGAGGCAAATCACTTATTATCTGACAGGCAGATGCATGCGGCCTCTGAAAGGTGTGATCTCCATAGACAGACTATCGGGGTTCAAATCCTCCCTCTGCCACTTCCAAGCTGTGTGGCCCAGGGAGGGCACACAACCTTTCTGTGCCTCCGTTTTCTCCTCTATGAAATGGGGATGATATGGCCCTCACCTTCTGGGGTTAATAATTAAATGTTGCTATTTGGAAGCACTTAGAACAGGTGGGCATGCAGAAATAGTCACAATAACCTCTTTATAATAGGACTGTTATTACTTTATGATTATTACTATTGCAATTTCAAAATTATGATTAGATGTGGAGAGTTGGGCAAGACCGGATGCGCTTGTGGAAAGCGGCTGGGGTGGGCTCCTGAATTCTGATTCTGCCCTTGCCAGCCCTGAGATCTTGGGCAGCTGGCCCCGGCCCAGTCTGCGCCTCCCTGCCCTCCTGTGTAAGAGGGGCCAGTAGCGGGGGTATCTGCTACTGCGCGGGATTCAGACTGACCCGAGTAGGAGCTCCGAGCGCAGCGACTCTTACTTGGATAGAGGCTCTCCCAGGTGTACCCTCTCCTTGTCCCCATCCCGTGGGTGGAATCACTGTCTCTCACGCACCTGTTAGGAGCAGTCTCTTCCATGCAGTGCTGTGGACAGAACCAGCGTTCAGCGGACCCCTCATGTTGTGTTCTGTCCAGGGGCCACAGAGGGGAGGTCGCCCTGTCAGGAGTGGGGTTTCCAAGACAGCACAGTTAAGTACTCAGCCTTGGCCCCGCCCCTGCACGGGCCTGGCCCCTGCCCTGGCCACACCCCCCATCCGTTCCAGTCCCAGGCTCCAGCTGTTGGCTGGGAAGCCACCTCCAGGCCTGGACTCCTCTCAAGCAGGGGGTTGCTGGTAGTGGTGGGTGGGGAGCAGGCTAGGGGGCAGGGTTCCTGGGGGAGGAGCACTGGGATTTTGCTTCCCTCCTTCTCTGCACCCCCCACTCCCAGGCTGGGAGAGGGATAAAGGTGGGGCAGAATTGTCACCCCAATCAGAGATGACACATGGCCGAAGGTCATCAGGTAGGAGGTGGAGTGGCCTCGTGCTGGCCTCCTGGCTTTGCTCCAGACTCTGTGGCTCTCTGCTCTGAGCCTCAGTTCTCCTCATCTGTATGATGGGGATGCTGGTACTAGTGCCTACCCCAGAGTCAGACCCGCCGCAGACGTCAGGTGCTCAGCAGAGTGTCTGGAGATAGTAGGTGCTCAATGCATGGTGGTAGTTATTAAAACAACACCAGTTATTAGCTTTGGTATCCAGGATGTCCTGGAAGCATGCTTAGAGGCCTATTTCAGGGCCTTGCTCATACTATGTCTTAAAATTTTTTTTAATTTAATTTATTTTTAGAGAAAGGGGGAGGGAGGGAGAAAGAGAGAAAGAGAATCGCTGTTGTGTGAGAGAAACACTGATTGATTACCTTTTTCACATTCCCAACTGGGGACCTGGCCTGAAACCCCGGCATGTGCCCGAACTGGGAATTGAACCAGCGACCTTTCTATTTGCAGGCCGGCGCTCAATCCACTGAGCCACACCAGCCAGGACTCGTGCTATATTTTGCATTTTGGATTTGGAAGGATAAGCCACAGAAGCTCCTTTCTCTCACCTGAGCTCATTCTTTGATCCTCCAAGCCCACTCTTTCCTCCTTGAATTCACAACTGTTTTGCTCAAACTAAGAACTGGTGTTTATTGGACACCTATGCACGCCAGGCACAGCATGAGCCCTTTAACAGGCTGGATCCTCATAGCCACCTTGAGGGGTCTCCATGATCATCCTCATTTCCCAGTGGAGCACAGAGACTGAGTGAGTCACCTCACAGCACACAGCATTCACAGAAGCTTCTGCCAGTTCTTTTTTTTTACTTAAAAAAATATATATATACTTTCACAGATTTTATTTATTTTTTAGAGTGAGGGGAAGGGAACAAGAAAGACAGGGAGAGAAACATCAATGTGTGGTTGCCTCTCGCACACCCCCTGTTAGAGACCTGGCCAGAAACCCATGCATGTACCCTGACTGGGAATCGAACCAGTGACCGTTTGGTTTGGAAGCGGGCACTCAGTCCACTCAGCCACACCATCCAGGGCCTTCTGTCAGTTCTTGGAAGAAGCCACCTCAAGGTCTCAGCACTTGCTGTCCCCTTTTCTTAGAGTCTTACCCAAATCATCTCATGCTGACTGCACTCCAGGAGCAAATCAAATATCAGCTCCTGGAAAAGGCCTTCCCGAAGGCAGGCTGCAAGTCAGGGCCCCAGCTGCTCGCTAGCAGGCCACACGGTTACATTTCCTTTACAATATGTACCACCATCCGAAACCCTTTCTTCCTTCGTCCACGTTTCATTGCCTCTCTCCCCTCCTTTGGTGCCACCTCCCCATGTCCCAGGTGCCTGGGACAATCAGTACCTGGCTCAGCACATACTGTCCCAGGGAAGGAATAAGTGGGTGAGGTTGATGAGGGTACGGAGAATTAAATGCAGACCTGACTCAGAAGCTCAGGCTTTTCCTTCCCAGAGAGATCCCAGGCTCCACCTGGGGTAAAGTTTCACCCATGAGTCTCTAAAAATAATCTTTATCAAGTGACTTGGTTATGTGTTTATTGGCATCCGTGGCACTGCCTCTTTTATGATTTTGCCTCAGTCAGGACAGGGAAGCACGGATGGGTGATCTGCAAATATTTGCAACACCACGAATAACCATTGTGTGCTTGAGGACTGTGGTTTCTGCTCATCCAGCATTCATTCTCTTCTTTCTAGCTAATAGCCCCTCGTGGTTCCAGGGAAGTGAGGGGTGCAGGCCTGGCCAATCAGAGCATTTCAACCCTATGCTTCAGTGATTGCTTGAAAGCGGGGCACACCACCCAAAGCAGGCTGGGGAAGAGAAATCCAGGAACTTTCATTAGAATTCTGGGGAATAAAGCATTTTCTTTCTGGTGGGTTTGCTATGCTCAAGGGATCTAAGTGTGGAGCTGCGGAGGGCCCTCTTTCCACCGTGAGTAGAGAGGCTGCCTAAGAATGAGGCCAACACATAGGGAAGGAAACCAGTAGATGGACAGAGATTCCTGATGATGTAATTTAAATGCCTAGATCCAGCTGTGCCTGAAGCTGCCAATAATCCTGCAGATTTTGTGTTGTGTGAGTCTGCACATTCCCATTGATTTTCCCAGAACAGTTTGATTTGGGATTCAGTTACTTGCCTCCAAAATACCTTTGATTGAAAACAAAAGTGAAAAACAGAGTTTTGAGAGCATATGACTCGGGATCCGCCAAGACTGAAAATGGGTCAGGGAAGCACCCCGGGGAGGAGACGGCTAAACCGACCCCGGGGGGAGAGGGAGGGTTTAGCAGGTTTGCGTTTCCAAACCTCATTCTCTCTCATACCACCTCACAATCCCTTCCACATGCACACCCCACCTGTACTTTCATGTGTTTACTTCATAGCTTTCTCTAAAGTGACTCATCTAAAATAAGCTCAACTCAGTTTTTAAACAATAACACCTGCAAAATTATGTATTACTATGCTAATTATATTAATGCAGATAAAAACAAAAAACATAATGATAAAAATGAAACATCTGTCCACATAACACTACAAAATTTTGTTGGTGTGTCTCCAAAAGAACACAAGTCCCAATCTATATGAAGATACTTAACATTACTGAACTATACCTTGAAGATGGTTGACATGGTAAATTTCAGCCCTGGCTGGTATGGCTCAGTGGGTTGGAGTGTCACCCCATAAACCACAAGGTTGTGGGTTTGATCCCCTGTTGGGACATGTACGGGAGGCATCCAATCAATGTTTCTCTCTCTTTCTCTCTCTCTTTCCCTTCCTCTCTCTCTGGAATCAATGACTATATCCTCAGGTGAGGATTAAAAAAAAAAAGATGGTAAGTTTTATATTTTTAAACCGCAATTAACATTTTAAAAAGTTGTTTTAAAAAAGAGAGAGAAGACCAGGGACAATCATGTACATAGACTGCCTTTACTGTCCAACTAAGGTAGAATAAAATTGAAATAAATCCTTACTTATACTCTGAGAAATAGCTAAGTTACATGTGCAGAAATCATATCAAACTATCATCAAGTCCATAGGAAACTTGGGGAAGGGATTGACTACTTAAGTAGAAAGGAAGAATAGCAAAGGGCAGATATAACATCTAGTAAGTCACTCCTTTTAAAAAAAAAGTTTTTATTTGTTGATTTGAGAGAGAGAGAGAAAGAGAGAAAGAGAGAGAGAGAGAGAGAGAGAAAGAGAGAGAGAGAGAGAGAGAGACATTTGTTGTATCATTGGTGCATCCATTGGTTGCTTCTTGTATGTGCCCTGACCTGAGATTGTAACTGTAGCCTTGGCATATTGGGACAATGCTCTAACCAGCTGAGTCACTTCTCTTTCATTAAGGTCACATAGTTTAACCAACTGAGCAAGTTTCTTTGGAATCGCTGCTGATGCCATGGGGATATTATGCAGCACCGGGCATGTGATTAGAAGAGCATTCACATCTACAGTGTTTCCCCCCAAACCCAGACCCTCAGTCTGAGTAGGAGGAAAACTCAGACAAACCCTGATTGGGGCACCTTCTACAGAATATCTGACCAGCATTCTTCAAAAACGGTCACAGCCGTGGAAAACAAGATAAAATGGAAAAACTGTCCCAAAGGAGCCTTAGGAGATGTGACGAAAAATGCAATGTGGCATCCGGACTGGTTGCTGGGACAGAAGGAGGACCTTAGTGGAAAAGTTGGTGAAGTTCGAACACAGTGTAGGGTGCAGTTGAAAAAGTAACAACAGCAACAACAAAAACGTGAGTCCTGCCTGGAGGAAATGGGACAGTCACTGCCATTTACAGAGACCTTGACTCTGAGGTGGCCACTGCTCTAAATACTTAACATATATTAACTCATGTATCCCTCCAACAGCCCTGGGAGGCAGGTGCTGCCATTCTCCTATTACAGAGGAGGAAACTGAGGCACAGAGGGGGTAAGTGACTTACCCTACAGCAAATAGCTGCTGGGTGGCTGGGCAGACCCAGGCGTCTGGTGCTGGCATCTGTGATATTCTTTTTAGAGGCGTTTTTTTTTAAGATTATTTATTTATTTTTAGAAAGGGGAGGAGAGGGAGAAAGAGAGGGAGAGAAACATCACTGTGTCATTGGCTCTCATATGGCCCTCACTGGGGACTGGCCCACAACCCAAGCATGTGCCCTGACCGGAAATTGAACCGACAACCCCTTGGTTCGCAGGCTGGCACTCAATCCACTGAGCCACACCAGCCAAGGCCAGTGTCTGTGATCTTAAGCATTATACGAGTATATGACAATCTGTTCAAGTCACTTGGGCCTCCTAACATCCTCAGGTGGTATATTTTATTGTTTGCATTTTTTTCACATGAGAAAAACACCAGAGATACTTGGATGGGGTTAAATTTAAAAAATAACAACAATAGCACACCCTCACCCCAGTCCAGCCCCATTTCCTTCCTTCAGGCTCCAGACAATGAGCTTCCTGAGGCACAAGGCCGGTCCTGTTTTCCTGGCTCCTTCAGTTCCTGCCTCAACACTCTGTCCTCCTGCAGGGGCGGGGTGGGGGGGTAGGGCGATGCTGTGCTGGAGGGGAGCAGTAAGTCATCGTCTTGTTAACACAGGTAACAGGACAAACAGCCGGCTCTGGACAAAGCTGATTGTAAAAAAAGCAGCTTGAAGGCCAGAAGGACTCCCTGTCCCCCTAGGGGCTAAGTCTGGACGGGAGACGACTTGACCCATGTGTCTCATGCACGTTTCCGGGGAAGGACGTCCCTGTCACCCATCAGAGGCAGTCCCGCCCCTTCCAGGAGGGTCTGGGAGAGAAAACTAAGCCTGTGTGGCACAGACCTTTTCTCTCTCTGCTTTTGGTCCTGCCTCTCTCCAGAAAGGGTACATTTTGGTCTGTCCCCTTCTGCCATGTGATCGAGGACCTATTAGAGGTAAGTTTATATGGAAGAGAAACTATTGGTCCCTCCACCCCTGTCTATTAGCTCCCTCTTTCATAGCTAAAGAAGTTTTACCCTGGCTGGTGTGGCTCAATGGATTGAGTGCCGGCCTGCAAACCAAAGGGTCACTGGTTCAATTCCCAGTCAGGGCATATGCCTGGGTTGCAGGCCAGGTCCCCAGTAGGGGGCATGTGAGAGGCAACCACACATTGATATTTCTCTTCCTCTGTTTCTCCCTCCCTTCCCCTCTCTCTAAAATAAATAAATAAAATCTTTTTTTTTTTTAAGAAGTTTTAGGTAGGCATATGGTTGGCTGGAATGAAGACATTTCCCAGCCTCCCTTGCAGCAAGCATGGCCCTGTGGCCAGGTTGTGGTGAATGGAATGTGAGCAGAAGTACAGCTTTCACTCTTTATTTTTTTAATATTGTATTTATTTTATTTTTAGACAGAAGGGAAGGGAGGGAGAAGGGGAGGGAAACATCAATGTGTGGTTGCCTCTTGCGTGCCCCTTACTGGGGACCTGGCCCGCAACCCAGGCATGTGCTCTGACTGGGAATTGAACCTGCAACCCTTTGGTTCACAGACCAGCGCTCAATCCACTGGGCCACACCAGCCAGGGCAGCTTTTACTCTTAAAGAGAGAGGGCTGTCCTTTCTTCTTGTCCCTTCCTTCAGGCTAGAGTGGGGACATTGTGGGGTGGCATCTTGGGCCACGGGGACAAGTACAACACCATATGGAGGGCCAAGAACAGGATGAAGGAGCCCAGGCTCTTGAGATCTTCACAGAGCAGAGCTGTACCCCAGCTTGAAATGAGGGAAATGCATTTCCATGTCATTTAAGCTATTGTTATTTTGAATCTGCCATAGGCAGCCACATTTTTTAAATCCTCACCTGAGGACATTTTTTTTCATTTATTTAGAGAAAGAGGAAAGGGGAGAGACAGAGAGAGAGACATTGATTTATGCCTTCTCATACATGCCCCAATGACCAGGGATCAAAGCTGCAACCGAGGTATGTGCCCTGACTGGGAATCAAACATGAGACCTTTCTGTTACAGGATGTTGCTTCACCAGACTGAGCCACAGCGGCCAGAGCCAGCAGCCACATTTTTGTCCTAAGTTCCGTTGCTCAGTGCAGGGGAGCAGGAAGGCGGGTGGGGGTGGCAAACTCGTCTGACCACACAGCTCGGCCCTGTTCCCTGGCGTTGTTCATTGTCCAGGCTGTAATGTTACCGCATTGCCCTTTCTCTCTCACTCTTGCCTCTCTCTCTGATTGGTTCTGCCTTCAGGTCAGGACAAAAGGGGTTATTCATTGAGATCCTCAGTCTCCACCCAGCCGCTAGGAGAAAAGGACGTACAGATGAACCAGACATGATCTTGACCTTCCTCTGCAAAGCAGGCCCTGCTTACGCAGGGGAAAGGTCACGCGTGGGTTTCCCCTGGGTTGTAGGAGGCCGAGGAGAAAATGTCCCAGGGATTTTAGATTGTGGATTTGATTGCTCACCGTCCGAGCCTTCCCGTACTGCAGAGGCTGGGAAGCTAAAATGACACTCCCCTCACTTCCCTCGAAGCCAGGGTTCTGGTCAGTCTGACATTCTCGCACCGAGATCTGGAAAGTGGAAGTGAAATGGAGATTGTGCTTGTGAGGCTGAGGCTTCGTCTGTGGCACACACAGACGGGGAGAGGCTGGTGTTTTTCCCCGAGGTACCACCAGTGACTGGGTTCGTGAGGCTCTCGTCTGTGTGGATGCAGAAGGCTGGTGTCGGTTCTGGACTCCAGTGGCGGCAGCGTTTTGATTTCTCACCTTTCTGTGTGGTGGTGGGGGCTGCAGCTCCCCCCAACCCCTACCCCGGGGTCAGATCTTCAACGTGGGGGTCCTGATAGAGTGAGCCGCCTTTTCATTTTCCATCCGAGGGCTCCCAGGGTCTGTCTCCTTCAGCCTCACGGTATTCAAATATCCAGTCCTACATCAAATCAGGCGAAACAGCTAAAAGCAAACTAAAACACCACTTTCTCGCCTCCCTTGACTCGAGGGTTTTCAAGCACATAGCAAAACACAAGTGTGATGGCATTTCCGAAGGGAAGTCGATTTTCTCACCTTGCTGTTTTCAGCCACAGCCCACATATTGATGGGATGGAAAACATTAATCTACATGCGACAAGATTATGCTTTGTTTAAGTACAAAGATCTAACAGACAGAGGGTAGGCGGGTGGGGGACTGGGTGAAAATGGTGAAGGGATTAAGAAGTACAAATCAGCCCTGGCTGGTGTGGTTCAGTGGACTGAGCACCGGCCTGTGAACCAAAGAGTCACTGGTTCAATTCCCAGTCGGGGCACATGCCTAGGTTGTGGGCCAGGTCCCCAGTAGGGGGTGTATGGGAGGCAACCACACACTGATGTTTCTCTCCCTCTCTTTCTCCATCCCTTTCCCTCTCTCTAAATAAATAAATAAATAAAATCTTAAAAGAAGAAGTATATTTTACAGTAGGTAGTTACAGAGCAGTCACAGACGTGTAACTTACAATATGGGGAACATGGTCGATATTATCATACTAACTGTGTATGGTGCCAGGTGGGTACTGGAGGTATCGGTGGACTGCTGTGTGAAGTAGCTGATTGTTCTATCCACTATGCTGTACATCTCAAACTAATACAGAATAATATCGAATGTCCATTGTAATTGAACAATTAAAAAATAAGGAAAAATAAAATCAGTGTAAAAACAAAAAATATCTGACAGAGTCGTGGGTGTTTTTAGCTCCATGAGAGTGAACCAGAGAGGTGCCAATGAAAATTCTCAATTCTCTGCACTTTTCAGGAAAAGGGGGTGTCAGTGCAGACGGTAACGTTGTCACCTCCACTCTGCCCTGCCCCCAGCACCTCTGTGGTGACTCCTGTCCCTGCCATTCACGCTGTCACCGTTGGCACACCCCACACCACGGAGTCATCGTCCTCAGCTCCTCCGAGTCTCACACCCGCATCCAACCTGTGCGCACACCCAGTGGGCCCCGCCTCCGCAATATCTCGGAATCTCCCTTCACTTTCCCTGCCCCACCCCCACCCCGTCGTTCCTTTCCAGCGTTGCGTAGCGGTCCCTTGAGTGGCGGTCCTGCGGTTTGTTTACCCAGGCCCCTGGGTTGTCCCAGTTTGGAGAAATTAGGACCACCCTAGTCTGGGCACTACCACGGGCAGTCCGGATGGTCGCAGCCAACCCTCCCTGCTCTCCCACTCCTGCCCTCTTCCCCCACGTGTACGCAGACGGATTCCACGAAAACATAAATTGCGTCTTCTCCTCTTCTCTGTCCAAGCAGAGTCAAAGCCCAAGTCCACGCCACGCCCACCTATTCACCCCACCCTTCCCTCCTCTCCCAGGCTCTCCCCTCACTCATTCTCCTCCAGCAGCACCCTGGCTTAGCTGTGTGCTCCTTGACCGCACCGCCAGGCCCCAGCTCCGGCACACGGCCCGCCCAAGTTCTGCCCGGCTGTTCCCTCGTCTGACGCCCCTCCCCGAGATCCGCGCCAGCCTCCGTTCCAGGAGAAGCTCGAGTGTCTCCTCCTCAGAGAGCCCTCTGTCACTTTCCAGCATTCCCACCCCTTCTCTCCCTTCCCTGCTGTTTCTGCCCCACACTGATCACCGACTCGCATACCCTGTCATTTACTTATTTGCTGTGTCCATCGACTGCCCCCCTCCCCTGTGGGCAGGGACTATTATTCCCTGCCGCACACCAGCACACGGCACAGTGGCCAGCACACAGTAGGTGCTCAGTGAGTAGCTGGGAGTGGATAGGCTTAACCTGCATCCCAGTTCTGCTGTGCTGTGCGAAGCCCCCCACCGCCATCCCTCTGCTGGTGACCACAGCCTCTCCCATCACCGCCCAACTCCGGTGACCTCCCTGTCCCCAAAGCGCTGCCGGCCTCCTCTGTGCCCTTTGCTGTTTTGTTAATACTCTCACGAAGGCAAATTGTTCACACAGTAAAAAAGCGCACTCTAAGCTGCCTTCCCAAGTGACACCAGGCCTGCAGAAAACGCACACGCTCTCCAGTGGCCTGGACTTCCACGCCTGGGCGGACACCTGCCCTCCTCCCGCCTCTGCCGCCTCTGCCTGGTCCTTTCCCACATCACTCGTGCAAATGAACTTGCTCCTCCCTCCAAGGCGTCGCGATGATGACTCTCCTTCACTGCATTGTTAGGACCCGGGGATTCAAGGCATGTAAAGTCCCTGGTGTGGAGGAGACACTCAGTGACAGTCAGTTCCCCCATGCTGAGGGACATCCAGCTGTGCCAGGCCTGGGAAATTCATGGTGTGGTGAAGACAGACCAAGACCGTCAGGGCCCCAGGGAAGGGGAAGCTGCGTTCTGGGAATCCGGAGGGGAGGTTGCTTCCTACTTGGTGCAGAAAGGTGGGTCTTCAATCCCCTGTGCGTTCATTCACCCGTTCGTCCATTCATTCGTTAGTTCACTCGCTCACCATCCTCCCGTGACGCACTCAGCTAACTCACGTGGGTGTATGTGGTATGGACACTTCCTCAATCAGAATTACACTGTGATTTGTGATTACCTTCACTGTATTCTAATACATTTTAATAACTTTGAGCTCACTGAAATTCCTTTTGCAGTTAGGAACTGTAACTACCATTTTCTATAACAATTTCAAGGCCACTTCCAAACCTGGATAAGATTGGACTAGACCAAATTAGTGAATCATTTTAGAATACCTAAATGTGAAGCTGATTTTATACTACAAATTACTGGTGTTGAATGTTGCTTAAAACCATGGAAAATGAAATTTCTACAGAACTTCAACCATCCAAATAGATATTTTTAGGCTTTGTGCACATTTAAAAATAAATTGATTTATGTATTTTTTCCACTCACCCCCACCCCCCATCCCTCTTGTGTTTCACAACCATCAGCCTGTTCTTTCTGTCTATGGGTCTGTTTCTCTTTCGTTTTGTGTATTCACTTGTTTTTAGGCCTGAAGACTTCATACCAGCATGTGTTGCTTGGCCCACACGTGTTTGGAAAATTACTCCCATTACTTACAAAAGTTACTTTGTACTTTTATAAGTACAAAGATTGCGCAAATAAAGGCCAGGTCTCCAAATTCTCTTGAAAAACAGCAAGATTGGCTACAGGTGCCCACATGCCTGCCCCACAGCCAGGGCTCCGGTTTTCCCTGCAAGTCCCTCCTGGTCCTGCGTCCTGGGAGGTGGCTCTCTCTGGGCTGCATCAGCATCAGCGAGGTCCTTGCCCTCTGGCTCCTGGTGGGGTGCCGCCATTGGAGGCATCGTTGAGAGACTGGAGGGAGGGAGAGAACAAGGTCTAGTCCCAGCTGGTGTGGCTTAGTTGATTGGAGTGTCGTCCTGTAATCCTAAAGTTTGCGTATTCGACTCCCAGTCAGGGCACATACCTAGGTTGCAGGTTCGATCCCTCGTCCAGGTGCATACAATCCCCGGCCCTGGGCATGTACAGGAGGCAACCGATCAACGTTTCTCTCTCACATTGATGTTTCTCTCTCTCCAAAAACAAAGAAAAAATGTCCTTGGATGAGGATAAAAAATAATAACATTATAAGGATAAAACTAAATTTTAAAAATGATGTCTCATTTGTTTCCCTAACATTCTCTGCTGAAGGCTGCATTCCCTACTGGGCAGCCCGTGCTACACCTGCAGCCTTGGTTCTGGACTTTCTGGGTCCTGGCACCATCCCCCCCACCTCCCCCGCCCCCGCCCCTGCCCCTCAGGCCACGGATTGGGAGTGGCCTCTTAGCTCATGTTAGTCCCCCTAGCCACCACAGCCATTGTTGGCTCCACAGCCCTGTCCGCACCAGAAAACCACTAAATGCTTCTCAAATAAAGTCGCCCTGAGAGCCATCTGTTTCCTGCTAGGATGTGGATGAGAGCACCCGAAACTCACCTCCTCTGAGCCTCCCAGCCCTCACACAGTGTTTGTGATGTTTGTGCAGCATGACACACACAGAGAAATGGGCCCAGTCACAATGCAAAGCTTGATGAGTTTTCACAAACTGGGCACACCTGTCGAACCTGAACCCAGATGGAAAACAGAACGTTCTCCCAACACGCCAGTCCCCCGGCACCTATCCCAGTCTTATCTCCGGAAGGGTGACCACTGTCCTGACTTCTGGCAGCGTGGGTTTGCTCTGCCTGTGTATGTGTTTTATGTGTTAATGGAGTCGGCTGTTGTACACTCTTGGGTCTCACTTATTCCTGCTCACCATTCCTTGGGCAAGACTCAGTGGCTGCCAGAGTTGCATTGCTGAACCATACGAAGTTGCTGATATTGAGCCATTTTTTCCAGATCAGATGAGATCGAGCATATCTGGGGTGGCAAGGCCGTAGACTTGGCCATTTTTTGATCCACACAAACAGCACTTTCTAGGGTTCAGACTAATGGAGGGCTCGTTCTCACCCCGTATAGAGTGCCATCATCCGAATAGACCGTGATGCACTCATCCCAACTACCTGGATGCATTGCGTTTGTGTGGTGCTCTCCTGTCAACAGATGTAAGAGCAAAGTGAAATGCAGTGGACCCTTGAACAACACAGGGGTCAGGGGTGCTGACCACCGCAAAGTTGAAAATCCAGGTATGACTTAAGTAGGTCCTCCGTTCATGTGGATTTCCAACTGCAGGTCAAAACACAGTTCACCCTGGAGCAACACAGGTCGGAACTGCATGGATCTGCTTACATGCAGATTTTTAAAGTTTTAAATTCTGCATATACTTAGACTTGACACTTTTCAAAACCCGTGTCATTCAAGGTCAACTGTATTTCTTGAAGCTGTGTCTCTCGCAATGGTGTGGGAATAGACAGTGGAGCCCGAGGGCTACATGCGTTTTCCGAGACGGTGTTGGGGAGCGTGCTTCTCTGTGAAAGTGGGGCGTAGTGTATGGCATGGTGGATCTGCAGCCTGGGCCCCCGGGCTTGGGTTCTTCTCGTCGCCCTGGCTGGACAGTGGGTGTGCAGTCTCGCTTCTCTGACATTCACACACCCTGTGCCAAGAGGAGTAAAGTGCAGGAAGATCAACGTACACACTTCAGCTTGGAAGACCTGGGCTACAGTAACAAAGGACCACCAACTGGGGGCTAGAGCAAGAGACACTTATTTTCTCACAGTTCTGGAGGCCAGAAATCCAAAACCAAGGTGTCACAGGCTGGGTCCTTCTAGGCTTCGATCTCTCTGAGCTTCCGGTGTCCTCAGGAGCACGGGCCTTGTCCGTGGCCATTTTTTGCATTTCTTCACTTTATCTTCCCTCTGTGTATGTCTGCCTCTCTGTCCAAATCTCCCCTTTGTACAGAGACACAGTCTCATTGGGTTAGGGCCCACCCTCTGGATCCCTTCTTAACTTGATCATCTACAAAGACCCTATTTCTAAATAAGGCCCCATTTACGGGTCCTGGGGCTTAGGACTTCAACCTCTTTGGGGGGGGACACGGTTCAAACACATAGTAAGCCTTTTGCCTCAGTGTGGGCCAGCCCAATCCGTGGGGTCTTAGAGTGGACCGACGCCTCACTCTCCACCCCACCACAGACTGACCCTGTCTGGCTCCTCACCACCTCGCGAACGTGAGTCCGAGGCTGCTCCCAGGCAAAGCTCCTGCATGAAGCTCACCGTCTCAGAGTCTGTTTCCTGGATACTTAAGGCACTGAGCAAACACGGGCACACAAACTTCCTGAACCAACTTTGCGTGCAGCAAAGACTGGTGATGCACTCAGAAGGGGCCGCTGTCCTGGGCGCACACAGTGTGACCACGTCCTGTGCCATGCGCTGATTCGGTAGCAGGGCAGCAAAGACCTCATGCTGGATGGCCCTTGTGCTGAATGACCAGGCTTCCAGTTCCCCTTCTGTGTGACCTTGTGAAATTGCTGAACCTTTCTGGGCTTCAGTTTCTTCATGTCTAACGGGGCTGAAGAGGCACTACGCTCCAAACTCCCAGCTTCCTCCGATGGCCTCTTTGTTTATAACAGCCCTTTTGAATTCCTCTGCTTTCCTCTATAAGAGAACGCTCCTCCTCTTCATTCTCCTGGTTTGCCTGTGGTTTTGCCATAGCCCATATACCCTGAGTTGCAATTCCTTGCTATCCCTGAACAAACTCAGTTTTGCTGGTAAAATAACTTGTATTTTTAAGGTCATCATTGCCTCAGGTTTTAAGCGGCTCCCGCTAGGGAATCAATGGCATTGCTTCTGATTAATTGGTTTTGTTAGCGGCGGAAAAACAGCTCCGAGTGTTAGAGCTGTGGACTCAAAATGAACCTCAGTTCAGCAACCTCGGTACTTGAGTTCTGGCCAGGAAAGAATTCAGAGTCCAGTCTCAAACTATAGGAGAAAGTTTATTTAGAAAGTCACAGAGGTATAGGAAGTGAGCTGTGGAAGACATGAGCTCAGGAAAAAAGTTATAGAAGTGAAAGAAGGACCCTTGGAACTTAGAAGAAGGAGGGAGAGAGATGGATCTTGAGGGTGGAAGAGGGAAGAGAGGTCCAGGTGTGCTCCAGAAAAGAGAGAGAGCAGGCACTGGGTCCTCCATCCTGAGGGCTTTTATCTCCGGTCTCAGGAGAGGATCTCAACAGAAAATTGATCAGATGTGCCCCATTGTGGTCTCCACTGATTGGTTGGCGCCAGAGGGTCCTTAGTCAATGCAGCTGGTCCTGATGTCAGCCATGGTATTGCTCCATCTGATTTTCCCACCTCTCTGGGCCTGGAGCTGGAACACGGCCAAGGCCTAGATGTCATCTTCCAGGGGCTAATGCTCAAGGGAGTGGTCATGCAACGGCTTATAGTTTTGCCCATTGCTAGGCGCCCGGGCTGTCCACCCTGGTAACCCTCTGCACCTGGCCTATTGTTCCTACTCTGCTTATGCCTGTTTAACTGTCTACTATAGTTTAAGGTTTGTTTAGAGATACTGCTTGTTGTTTCTAATTAGTATCTCCTGCCTGGAAGTGTCTGCAAATCATGGGACTCACCCGTCAGTTTTCACGGTCCCCCTGATGCGAAGGCGGGGCTTTTGACATCCATGGGAAGCCAGCAGGTGTGTGCCTGGCTGCTTGCTCGCTCCTCAGCAGGCTTGTACTCCCTGCGCCTTCCCCATTAGCGAGAATCAGTGTTGACACATGCTCAAGACTGATTTTTAAAGATCCTTTTTATTTTCAGTTACAGTGGCATGCATTATTATATTAGTTTCGGGTGTACACCCCAGTGATTCAATATTACATAAGTTAGTAAGTGATGATCCTGAGAAGTCCCACGCCCATCTGACAGCATACGTGGTCATTAGACTATTATTGACTATGGTCCCTCTGCTGTACTTTACAATCCCATGACTATTCTGTAACTACCGATTTGTACTTCTTAACCCCTTCACCTTTTTTGGTCCATCCTCTTAACCCCCTCCTATCAGGCAACCATCAAAACATTCTCTGTATCTATGATTCTGCTTCTGTTCTGCTTGTTCATTTATTTTGTTGTTTAATTCAGTTGTTGATACATATATATTTATTGCCACTTAATTGTTCATATTTTTATCATTTTCTTTTTTTTAAAGAAGACACTTTAACATTTCATATAATGCTGGTTTGGTGGTGATAAACTCCTTTAGCTTTTTCTTGTCTTTAGTTGCCTTTTTTTAAAAAGATTTTATTTATTTATTTTTAGAGAGGGAAGGGAGGGAGAAAGAGAGAGAGAAACATCAGTGTGCGGTTGCTGGGGGCCATGGCCTGCAACCCAGGCATGTGCCCTGACTGGGAATCGAATCTACGATGCTTTGGTTCGCAGCCCGCACTCAATCCACTGAGCTATGCCAGCCAGGGCTCTTTAGTTGCCTTTTGATTCTAAATGATAGCTTTGCTGGGTAGAGTAAACTTGGCTATAAGTCCTTGCTTTTCATCACTTTGAATATTTCTTGCCTATTCCTTCTGCCCTGAAAAGTTTTTCTTTGAGAAATCAGCTGACAGTCTTATGGGAGCTCCCTTATAGGTAACTAATTGCTGCTTTTAAGATTCTCTCTTTATCTTTAACTTTGGTATTTTAATTATGATGTGTCTTGGTGTGGGTCTCTTTGGGTTCATCACATTTGGGTTTCTCTGCACTTCCTGGACTTGTATGACTGTTTCCTTCACCAAGTTAGGGAACTGTTTTCTGTCATTATTTTTTCAAGTAGGATTTTAATTTCTTGCTCTCTCTCTTCTTCTTTCAGCACCCCTATGGTGGAGATGTTGGTACCCATGAAGTTGTCCCAGAGGCCCCTTATACTACCTCATTTTTTAATTCTTTTTCCTTTTTGTCGTTCTGATTGGGTGTTTTTTGCTTCCTTATATTCCAAATCATTGATATGAATCTCAGATTCATCAAGTCTACTGTTGATTCCCTGTAAGTTATTCTTCATTTCAATTAGCATATTCTTCACTTCTGACTCATTCTTTTTTTTATGGTGTTGAGGTTCTCACTAAGTTCCTTGAGCATCCTTATCAACAATGTTTTGAACTTGGCATGTAGTAGATTGCTTCTCTCCAGTTTGTTTAGTTCTTTTTCTGCAGTTTTGATCTGTTCTTTCATTTGGGCCATGTTTCTTTTTCTCCTCATTTTGGCAGCCTCCCTGTGGTTGTTTCTATGTATTAAGTAGAGCTGCTACATCCCCAAGCCTTGGTAGAGTGGCCTAATATAGTAGGTGTCCTGTAGCACCCAGTGGCATAGCCTCCTCTATCACCCCAGCTGGGTAAACTAGATGCACCCCTCCATGGACTATATACCACCTCTTTTGTAGTTGAGACTTGGTTGCTTTTGGCAGATCAGTGAGAGGGATTTACCCTCAGGCCCATCACCTGCAAGGACTGGCTATGACTACTGACCACTAACCTCCAACCACCATGGAGGATCAGCTGTGCAGGGGCCTGCCCCACAGAGTGGGACTGACTTCAGCGGGGCTCTGCCCACTAAGTCTGCCCCTTGAGTCTGTCACTTATGGAAGTGGTTGTGTGGTGGTGCTTTGATGTGGTCTGAAGTTGTCTGCTGAGTGTGCTGGCTCTGGGCCCTCTTGCAAGATGTAGGCCAAGGTCGGCTGCAGACTGTGTTCTGCCTGCAGCCACTTGGCATGAGCTACAAAGTGATCTGTAGATGGCTGCTACTTGTGCTGGATGGGGCCAAGTTGTGAACCAAGGCTGCTACTGCTGGTGCCAGTGTGAGGCCATTTAGTGAGAAGCACAGGGTTTGCTGAGGCCAGATGGTGCTTGTTTTAGAGAGTTTAGGAAAATCTGAAGCATGAGTCAAGATAAGCCATTCGAATGGAAAAGCCACTGGGAACAGCTTGGGTGGGCCTGGAAGTTGGGTGCGGCTGGGCCTCGGGGTATCACCTGGGTGGGGCAAACAGTGTGAGCCAGGTCGATGAAACTCCACTATGGTGCTCACCTGCCTGCTCTGTGGCTCTGTGGGAAGAGAGCTCATCAAAGGAACAAAGGCCTCTCCAGCACTTCTGTCTCAGAGAAAGCTGCCCCTCAGCTCTTGCCCTGATGCCTAGCCATCCAGATACCAAACAATCCTCCCTGTATGTCTCTGGTGCCTTTCAAGCTGCTGCCCTTGTGCTGGGGCTCAGAGAGAATGGGTCTGAGTAAGTCTGTGTGCGGGCCAGGCCCTTTAAGAGGAGCTGCCTGGCACTGATAGTCTCCTGTCTCCCTCAGTCTCAACCCCGACTGGTTTTTATAGCCAGAAGTTGTGGGGACTTCTCTTCCTGGCACTGGAATCCTGGTGCAGGGCTGGGACCCCCTCATACCTCAGGGCGGACCTCCGAAGCTGAGATAGGTCTCCCAGTTTGTATCCGCCACACATGGGTATGGAACCAGCCCTTTCTGTGTCTCTGCCCCTCCTACCAGTCTCGATGTGATTTCTTCTTTAATTTCGTAGTTGCAGGACTTCCATTCAGCTCGATTTCAGGTGGTTCTGGATGACGGTTGTTCTGTAGTTTAGTTGTAGCTCTGATGCGGTTACGGAGGAGGTGAGCACCATATTCACCTATGACGCCACCATCTCAACCAGAAGTCCCTCGAGGCTGATTTAAGAAATCCATGTCCAGCACCTTCCACCCAGGGGTCTGGGGTGGGTTAGGAGCCTTGGGTGGTGGACTGGGGAAGTCCAACTGCTCCCTCTGAACGTCCCCAGATGGGGATTGACCTGGAGCAGGTGTGCCTCAGGACGGCCTGTAGTGCATGGGTTCTTGACTTCACATAGGAAAGATTTTACAACCTGAGTCCGGGTGATTTGGAGAGGACGTTTATTAAAGCTGGGGACAGTGATACAAACGGAAAGACTTAGAGGAGGAGAAGTAACAGGAGAGAGCCTAGGCGGAGATGCTTTGGCTCTTATAGGGAAAGAGTGAGCCTAGGTGGGGATGCCGTGAGCTCGCCGGGAAGTCAGAGAGAAAGGGCGCTTTGGAGGCAGGTCAAGGGGTAAGCTTGGGGTGAGATGCCGCTGCCCACTGCTCCACCAGTTGCAAGTCTTACGGGAACCCTTAGGGTTGAGGAGAAAATAAAAAGTTCATGCCCAGGAAGGGGCACGGACATGCTCTAGAGTGAGCTCATGCTGAATATCTGTCCTGAGGGCTTTTTATCTTTTTACTGCAAGTGGGAATCTTAGGGGAGGGTTTCAGCAGAATATTCAGCAGTTTTCTGGGTGCATTTTTAATGTGCTGATGCATCACAATGAGCACAAAGGGAGGTCTGGGAGTATGCTTTGGGCTGCTATACTATTTTCCTTTTATCTTGATTCTGTCTGGCTTTTAATAGGGTTTTTGTTATTTGTTCCCCTGACTTCATATCCTTGGGTTTGGCTGGCATGAATGGCTTTCATTGGGTCTGTGCTCTCTATTTTCCCAGCCCAGGGGGATGGAGCTGTGTACTCTCTGGTGAGGGAGAAAAGGTATGAACCATTTGCTCTCAAGTGTCCTTGGTTAGGGGAGATAAGGTCCTCTCATTCACCAGTTCACTCAAACTCCTCTTGAGTAAGTTGCTCAAACTCCTTGGCCTTGTTTAATTTCCTTGTCTCAATTTCCCACTTCTACTTGCCCAGGAATTTTCCTAACTTCTTACTGTCCTGTCACATGAGTGCCCTGTTATGCAAAGAGCCGAGGTCCGAGAAAACCTCAGAGCATGTGCATAGATTCCAAAGAAATAAGCCAGAGGACTGGCTATGACAACCATGGGGTTTTTAGGACTTACATGCGCATCAGTGGCAGCTGGCCCGTGAAACTGTCTATGACCTGGGCTTTTCCAGCACGGGGTTGTATAGAGTACAGAAAGCAAAGCAAAACAGGGCTCCCATGGGGAAGAGGACGTGAACGTGCAAGCCATGCGAGATCAAAACACTAGTGGTCTCTGTGCCATTTATTGACGGAGGAGTTGGCCAGGCTCCCAGGGTATCACATTCTGTTTGCAAATGGCCTTCATCCTATTCAAACAGGGGGTGGGGAAGTGGGAGCTTGGGAAGGGGCCCGTGTTCTCACGTACCACGCATACCCGCACTGCTGTGTCCGGTTCCAGAGCCAAAGAGGTATGGCTTGCTGCTGACTCGGTCATAACCTAGAGCAGGTGACTTACATTTGTTGAGCCTCAGTTTTCTCCTCTGTGAAATGGGTACTGAATAGTACTTATCTGTGAATTTGTAAAATTGCTTTTGTTAATTAACTTCCAAGGATGAAATGTGGAGAAGTGTCCTTCTCTAAAATTGACTGTTTGGGACTTGGCAATTCGAAATCCACATCCAGTTTGAAATCTCCCTCTTGCCTGGGGGATCCTAGCAACCCTGACAGAGACCCGGCCTTGACTTCAGGCCCAGGTGCAGAGCTTCAGGTGAGGGATTTCCAGGCTCTGTGTGGCCCACTTACCTTCATGTTGCTGCTTCCAAAGAAACGGGGCTGAGTTCTCCTCATGGCCCAGGCCCTTTCTCACAGCAGTGCTTTCCTTCATGCCAGTCGCAACACTGTGTCATTTCAAGTCCACTTCAACTCTGCCCCTCCCCAAATCTCGTCCAAGCCCTGGGTAGACACAGGGGTCCCAGTCACTGCGCAGCCTCACGACTTTGGGCAAGCAGCCAACGCTTTCTGAGCCTCAGCTTCCGCA